GACTGCCTGCACCTAAACATCTACACCCCATTTATAAATGGTTCCACAAAATATCCGGTAATGGTGTTTATACACGAAGGAATATTTAGAGCAGGTACCCCTATTTTTGGCGATGCACCAGGCGAGTATTTGCCCACACGCGATGTTGTCCTTGTCACTATCCAGTATCGACTTGGACCATTTGGGTTCTTCACTACTGGAGACTCAGAGGCACCTGGAAATGTGGGTCTTCTTGACCAAGTAGAGGCCCTCAAGTGGGTTCAACAAAATATCGAGGGTTTTGGTGGCGACAAGAATAGCGTGACTCTCCTTGGTGAAAGCGCAGGAGGAACTAGTGTGGGATTACACTACTTATCACCTCTGTCCAGAGGACTGTTTCATCGAGGTATTGCAGTGAGCGGTGTGGACTTGGAATTAAGTCCCTATGTTATGAAGCTAAAGTCAGTGGTTGTAGATGCCAGTAAAGGCCTAATAGAAAGAAACAATTGTAGCGTGAGCGGAGGTAATGCGGCGAAAATCCGATGCTTACAGTCACGCGCCTGGAAAGACATTTTACATTTACCCTTCATTAACTCAATGTCGCCAGTTGTTGATAATCATTTTCTTCTTGCAAATCCATGGAAGTTAAGGAGAAATGGTAATTTTCGAATACTTCCTTTCATGGCGGGGTTTACCAGTCAAGACGGGTCGCATGTTGTTGAATCATTGTTACTGACAAGATCGAGGTGGATGGTAAACAGTGTTAAGGAGTTTAAAAAATACATAAAGAAAGCTCTGAGCTTAATTAAAGTTGATAATGTAACGCAACAAGACCTCATTTATCAATTGCTAGAAAATACGTACCTGCCAACCCGAAGTGTACCGTATTCTGGATCTCAATACTTGAAGGCATTAGTAGACGTTTGTACTGATTTCAGTGTAGCTGCACCAACTCATGCTGCCTTGACCTTCCATAGTAGGCATGGTGCCCCTGCGTACTTGTTTGAGTTTGCCCATCGACGTAGACAAGCACGATTTCCGTATGACAGGTGGATGGGAGCGTCTCACGGCGATACGAAGGAATACGAGTTCGGCAAACCATTTCTTAAGCCTCGACGTTATAATAATAGAGAGAGAGATGTCAGCGACATTATGGTGACGATGTTTACAAACTTTGCCAAATTTGGTAACCCGACACCCAATCCTGTGCATGGTGTTCAATGGCAAACATTCACCTCAACCAACAAAGCCTATCTGAGAATCAAAAGCACTCCCGCTATGGCTAGAAGATATCATAACAGCAGAATAAAAGCATGGAATACCTGTATCAAGAAAATGCTCAAGCCTAAAACGCGGCCATTCCAATGCCGGCTTTCGCGTGACGTCATTAATTAATGGGATTTTTTTCTAAAATGTGTTATAGAAATCAGTGATATAATTCTGAGGGAAAACGTTTGATTGGTTCCTGCGCGAGTTATGAAGGTCAATTTTATGTCATATTTTAATGCCATCACTCGTACAGAAAATCGAATGGAATTGAGTGCAGTTTGAAACAAATATCACGAGTACCGTTCGAAGTCAAGATTTTAAAATTGCACGAGCCAGAAGCGAGTTTTGATTTTAAACTTCACTAGTAATATATTTTTTTTAATAAGATGACCATCAAAATTTTTTGATCAAAAATGTTCAGAGTGATTTCAAAAGAAATCAACTAGTAGCACACCAATCACAATAGACAATTTTTGAAGTCATATTAATAGAGTGAAAATCAAAAATAATTTACCCTAAATGTTTAGAATAGTGAATCCAAATAAATAATTTTAGAGAAATTGAATCGAAAACGAATAATGGGATATTTCATCATGATGTAAGCCAGCGTAGTTTCGTCTGACCGAGTGTTGCCCTGTCGCACAGCCTAGGAATGGCCAGCATGGCCGCTTTATTTATACTATTTCAGCAAAAATCGCGTTGTGTTTAATTGCTCGCTTATAATTTAAAACAAAGAAATTCTCTACACCCTCGAAACTTATTAGTAGTTTAGTTTAGTTTAGTTTAGTTTAGTTTAGTTTAGTTTAGTTTAGTTT